ATTGGGATTGCATTAAATGTGTAAATTGCTTTTGGTAGTATTGCCATTTTCACAACATTGAGTCTTCCTATCCATGAGCAAGGGATATTCTTCCACTCTCAAAGCATTCTTAAGTATTGCCAACTCGAGACTCAAATTTGTTCTTCAGTTCTTTCAGTTTAAGAAATGATGAGCAAGTTTGGCCCTTTTGATTTTCTGACTCCAGTTCTTAGCATATTTCATTATAAAACTTTGCTTTGTCTTCTCAAGCTGCTCTTTGAATTCATGAATTCTTCTGTTCACCTCCTTATCATCCTGCTTTCGTCCTTTGCTTTGACGCGTAGTGTAGGGACAAATTATTTCACAATACCTTTGTTTCAGTTGTTGTTGTATGTGACATTGAGTGAGTCATTTGCAACTCACAGCAACCCTACATACAACAACTCTGAATCCTGTTCTATCCTGTGCCAACCTTACTGTCTCTGACACAACTATACCCCAACTACCCCAGTTACTGAATCAATCCATCTCATAAAGGGTCTTCCTCTCTTGTGTTGTCCCTCCAGCCTCCCAAGCATGCTGTCCTACTCCAGGAAGCGGCACCTCCTTACAACATGACCAAATTACGTCAGATGAAGCTTCAGAATTCTTTCCTTCAAGGAGTAGTCTGGTTCCTCTCTCTCTAGGATGAATGTTTGTTCTCCTAGCAGTCCATAGTATATTCAATACTCTTTCTCTAGTACCACAGCTCAAAGGCATGAATTCTTCTTCTATCATCCCTACAAAATCCAGTTTTCTGATGCCTATCAAGTAACTGTGAACACTATGGCTTCACTCAAGTATACTTTAGTCTGAAGACTGACATTGTTGCTTTCAGTATTATTGAGAGGTCCCTGACCACAGATTTGCCTATTACAACTCGTCTTTTTATTTCCTGGCTGCTGTAACAAGAGTGCTGATTGTGGAGCCAAAAAAGTTGAAGCTGTTCACTGTCTTATCATGATTCTGCCAATGGGCCCAGAGGTGAGAATCTTTGTTTTCTTGATGTTTTAGTTATATACATTTATATTGAGTGATAATGAAAAAAGAAAAAAAATAAACCAAAACCCAAAACCATACTTCTTCCTTGGGCTAGCAAATTACTAGGTTTGAATGTCCTGATTTAGGGTAATCGCAAAACAGAATTCCAATTAAAACTACACAGCAAACTTCTTTTTTTACCATAATTTCTGGATCTGAAAGATATTCTCCTTGTATTTCATCTCTAGAACCAAAATTTAAGTTGAACAACTAAGGCTAAACAACTTATGACTGCTCAGAGAGAGTAGTGGTTGCAACTCCTTGCATAGATCAAGATGAAGAAACAGTGTTAAAACCAGCTTTTCTGAGATGTTAGAGGTGCCATAATGACAATACACTATGGATCATACAACAGCTTGTATGAGAATAGCAAGTTATTCACACTTACTTCACCATCTTTGGCAAGCTTCCTTCCACATCTCATACTATGTCCTTCTAGTTCTTCTTTATTTATTTCTTGGGGCCTAGAAACATGCATGAGACATAAAACATCACAGAAAATTAGGCAAATATTAATTGAGAAAGAATTGAGTTTAAAAAAAAACAGAAAAAACTGTTACTAGATTTAAAACAATGTTTTAAAAAAAATGCCACAAGAAAGCCAACTCACTTTCTAATTATTAAGAAAAAGAAATGAAAATACATCATTTTGATAAAATATGATTTGCTACCACCCACCAACTGTTATGGCAGTTTTATATGCAAACTACTTTTCATTTAGTTTAACTGTAAGAAATCAGTACTTAATAAGCCACTGTAAGGCCAACTATGAGTTAGTTCCGGCTCGGCGGTATATAGCAACAACACAGGTTTTAACAATCCATCTTACTTGACCTCTCACCTTAAAAACCTTAATTTACTAAGGGAAATATTATTTTAAGTTGTAATAATAAAATTTTTAACATGTTGCCACAAATGACGGTAATATATGTTTCTAAGCATGGTCGTCAATTTAAAAGTGTGCGGCAACGTGTTAAAGAACCACATGAGAAGATTAATCAGAACTGGCTTTGACAAGCACTGTGGCATTTGGACAAGAACAAACTGGGAGGAGGGTAGAGAGAATAGTGCAACAATGAATGAGTGG